CCCCCCCCCCCCCCCCCCGCGGTCCCGTACAGGCCACACCCCCTGACCCTCCTGCCCTCCACCCCTGCCCTAGATGGGCCAAGTCCCACCCAAGGTGCTATAAACGCCTTGCTCGCTGGACCGGGCCCTGCCCTAGCTGGTCTAAATTTGCCCCAAACTTGGTAGAACGCGGCGTTATAACACCGAGGTCAAGGGCTCGGATGCCCTCACCCACCAGCCGCCAAACAAAACAAAACAAAAAATAAAATCTGCCCCACATCGTCTAGGGCCCACCCCTCTGTTGATCTAAACCCCACCCCCAGTTGGTCCAGGCCCCATCCCCAGATAATCTAGACTCTGCATCCCGGATGGGCTAAGCCCCACCCCTAGCTAGCCCAGGTTCCAACTCTGCTGGACGAAACACTGGTCTACTCTCTGCCCTAGGTGGTCTAGAACACCCTTCCCGCAGTGGTCCAGACCCCGCCCTGGTTGACCCAAACCCCACCCTAGATGGTCCAAACTCTTCCCCAGCTAGTCCAGGCCCCACCCCCAGATGCTCTGAACCTCACCTCCAGGTAGTCCAGGCCCAGCACTTGCTGGTCTAAAATCACCCCTGATGAGATGGTCCCAACCAGGGTTTCCAGGCCTGCCCTAGTTGGTCTAACTTCACCCTTCATATTATAAACCTGGATTTTCCCCTGCCCCTACCTCTGCTTGTTTGAACTGTTAATGTTGTAATCCCACTCTGACTGTCTAGGCCCTCCCATTACTGATCGAAATTCTCCCTTCGTGATATAATCCCAGCCTGACTATGCTAGGCCCTCCCCTGCCGCTCTAAAATTTGCCTTTATTAGAAAATTGTCTCCCCCTCTACTCTAGGCCCCATATCTCCAGGTTGCCAAACCATGCCCCCTGAGGGTCTAGGCCAGGCTTCTCCCCTGTCCCAGGTCTAGCTAGTGCCGCCTTTCAGGTCCTCCAAGCCCCGCCCCCTGCAGATCTAGACCCATCACCAAAGAACACCCTGCTCTTTAAATATACTAAGTCTTGGGCTGGCCCGTGGCTCACTAGGGAGAGTGCGGTGCTGATAACACCAAGGCCACGGTTTCGGATCCTACATAGGGATGGCCGGTCGGCTCACTGGCTGAGCGTGGTGCTCACAACACCAAGCCAAGGGTTGAGATCCCCTTACTGGTCATCTTATTAAATAAATAAATAAGTAAATCCTCCTCCCTTCTCATCTGTATTCCACCGTTTCAAAGAAGCTCTGCCCCCTGGAATTTTCCAACACTACTCATTTAGGATAGAAAGGAAGTCTAACCCGTTAATAGTTTGCCTCTTGAGTCTTCCAGTCCTTGCTCTCTAGGCCCTAGATGTTGAGATGGCCAATCCCAGATTCTGGTCTTGGTCCAGCCTCGTGAATCAGCCAGATTGACGCTCTGAGCCTTTAATGGTATAACCTCTCCCCCTTTGAATTTTCCAGGCACAGCACCTTCTTTTCTAGCCTCTCCTCCTCAAAATGGCAACGGACCCAGGCCCACCCTGTCTCCTAGACCAGCTCCTTTAGTTTCCCCTTCCTGGGTCCGGATGGTTTCCGAGGCCAATCCCTTTCCTGGAACCACCAGGGTCTACGAGGTCCCGCCCCTTTAAACAGACCGGCTCCTCCCCATCGCCTCCAAACCATTCTCCCTCTCCTGGCTCCTCCCCGCAATGCTCAGCCCTCCTCCCTATCCGAAAGACTCCGATTCTGTCACAAGGTCCCACCCCCTTGCCCAAACTCCTCCCCTCTGTCTCCAGGAACGCGGAATTTGGAACCTAAGCGTCCGGAATCCCTGATTAAGCGCCAGACACCTGTCTGTGCTGGTTCACTTCGGAAGACTACACCGACCTTACCCAGCGGGTGGCGACGGAGATAGGAAGAGCCTAGGAAAGCTCGGGCCCCACGGGGCGCTCGGGGCAGGGTAGCTTTGCAGACACAGACACAGACACACACACACACTTTGCAGACACACACACACACACACTTTGCAGACACACACATACACACACACTTTGCAGACACACACACTTTGCACACACACACACACACGTGCGCGCGCGCGCGCGGGTGCACCGCCCGGATCCGCCGCCCCCTCCCTCTGCCCCTCACCTGCTGCAACGAACAGGATTCCTGCGCCCAGAATGATGTTCCTCTTGGACTTGTAGACGCGGGAGGCTGCCACGCACACGCCCCCGAGCAGCAGCAGGATGGCGCTAAGGATGGGGAAGATGCTGGAGGCCCGGACAACTCCTGCGGGGGTGGAAGGAAATAAAAGGGGGGGGGGGCGTTCAGACGCGGCCGCCTGCGACCCCGGTGCGCTGCGCCTCCTGCCTGCTTCGGTCTCCGTTTCTCTCGCTAGTTCTCTAACTCTCCTTCTCTGTGTTGTTATTTTATTATTTTGCCCCATTCTCTCTCCTGTTTTTAAAATTTCTGTTTCTCGATCTGATTTTCTCTCCCTCTTTTTCTTCGTCTTTTTCTCTCTTCCTCGGTCTATTTTTCTCTCTCCTGGCATATTTTCCCCTCTATTTCTCTGAATCACTCTCACTATTTTTCTCTCAACTTATCTGCTGATCCTCTCCCTTCCTCTCTTTTACTTTTTCGCCCCGCCCTTCCCTTCCTCTCCCGCGAATCTTTTTTCTTTCCCGAGCCCCCTTGCTGGCAAATCTGTTACTGCCCCTCCACCTCTCCCCTCTCTGTCTCACTTCGTCTGTCTCTCTGGGTTTCTCTCTCCCTGTCTCTGTCTCCCTCCTCCCCGTCCCTTTTCTGCCTGAATTCATCTGTCTTTCTGGGTTTTTCTTCTCTCTTTTCTTCTTCTTCCTGCCTCTGTCTCTCCCTCCCTTTTCTGCCTGACTTAACCTGTTTCTGAGTTTCCTTTTCTTCTTTTTCTTACTCTGTTGCCGCCCCCCCCCCTTTTTCTGCGTGACTTCATCCATCTTTCTCCCTCTTTCCTCTCATCCCCCTCCCCTTTATGGCTGGCTTCATCTCTCTGGGTCGTTCTCTTTCTCCCTCCCCCCTTATCTCTCCTTTCTCTCTCTTTCATCTCTCTCTCTTTCTCCCTTCGTGTCGCTCTCTCTGCAGTCCTTTCCACCCACCCCTAAACCCCCCGGCACCCAGATCTTGCCAGGTGCACCTGGCTGAAGTCGCAACCAATCACAATTCAGGATTTGCCGCGTTCTCTGGATAGTTACCAATCGCAACACAGGCTTCCCCCGCCAGCTCCCGAGAGTGGCCAGTCCCCGCCGCAGATTGCCCCACAGCCCAGGGCGCAGTGGCCAATCCCAGCCCGGGAAACTACAACCAGTCACAGCGCAGAGTTACCGCGAATGCCAAAGAGACGAAGGCGGCCAATCAGCGCCCAGGATCCCCCCTCAGCCCGCCCCAAGGTGAAAGGAGAGGGGCGGGAGAGAGACCACTGGGCCAATCTGGAACCAGAGGATCTCAGCATCTGAACTTGGATTGGCTGGGAGGCGAACCTCTGCGTGTCGATCCAAGTGCCCCAGTCCCTCCTCCGGCCCCTTTCACGCCCTCCAGGCCTGGCAGGACCCCCGAGTCTGTCCCGGGCCCCCACGTACGGAGCAGATACTCCGCGCTGTCATGGTCGTAGTCCGTGTCCTCCGGGAAATGATTGATCTTGACGCAGACGCCTCTTTTCAACCCTGGAGGTGGGGTGGGGACGGGGGAGTGGGGGTGAGGACTTCAGAGTTGGGGGCGGGGCACCCCCTTCCCCAAACCGCTTCTTTCTCTGGGCTGATTGGGAGATAGAAAGTCTTAGCTCCAGAGCCTGTCTCGTGGTGCGAGATAAACTTTCAACTCTGTGGACTCAGTTTCCTCACCTGTTTAAGAAAGAAAGAAAAGAAAGGAAGATAGAGAAAGAGAGAGGGAAAGAGGGAGGGAGAAGGGAGGAAGGGAGAAAGGAAGGAAGGAACTTATAAGGCCACAAGGACCGTTACACTGTAACCTGGACTGAGTCACCCAACTTCTCTGGGCTTCGGTTTCCCCCTCCAAAAGAAGGAGGGTGTTGGTTTTAATAATGTCAAGGCGACCTTCTAACTCTAAATATTTGAGAAATCTAAAAATGTGTGGTAACACAAAAAAGGGGCTACGGATGGCGATGAGGACTACATTTCCCATGAGACCATGGGAAGTCTTAAGTTCAATTGAGAGGGGAGAAAGGCCCTAGTGAATGATGGGAATTGTAGTCTCTTCAGTCCTGAGTCTAAAGAGCAATTCCTAGTGTCTCCTTGCGGAACCTGGAATCCTCCGGAGAGAGGAGGAGTTGAAGCAAGCAGAGGCGTGTGAGGGGGAGGAGTATACCTCTAGAAGTCATGCAGTCTCACCCCCTTGCATCCTGGAATCCCCTCTTCAGTTCCTCATCCTCATACCCTTTGGGAACCTATCTTCTCATCTGTGGGGACAGTTTCTGTTCTACTACCTCTAGCACATAGCTGGAGAAAATAAACATAAATATAAATACGAGTATAAATGTAAGTATTTAAAATATTTAGTTTCCTCAACTCTCCAATCTCCCTCCAACCTCCAGGCCTTTGCCTATGCTGTGGAACATTCTGCTCACATACTTTGCTGATGTAATACCTACCCTGCAGTGGACATTAAGGGCACCTCCTTGAGGAATGTTTCCCTAGACACACACACACGCACACATTTATCCCACCAAAGCTGAATCGGTTACTCCCTGTGCTGCCCCCTTTAAAACATGCATCAAGTTGATTTATAATCTTTTTCATCCTCAAGAAGCTGGGAGTTCCTAGAGAGAAAGGGCACAGAGTGTGATTCCTCTGTGTGTCCTGAGCATTTCCTGGCACTGGGCCTAGCACACAGGAGGCCTCAAGAAATGAGTATTGAAAAAAAAAAAAGTAGTGGGTGTTGAATGAATGAATAGGTAAATGAATGTAAGGATGACATGACAGAAGGGGAGATCAGAGGCAGACTATGACAAGCACAGGAAAACAGGGAAAGGAATAGAGATAAAGGAAAGAATTGGGAAGAATGAATATAAGACAGTGAGTAATACCAGTAAGAGTTAACATTAAGTGCTTCTTAGGTAGATTAACTCATTTTATACTCCCAAGAGTCCCATGAAACATATGATGTTGTCAGTGTCTTACGGTGGCCAAATGGTAAGTATTGGAGCCACACGGCTTCAATAGGAAGCCTGACTCCACCACTTCCTTATTCTATGACCTTGTTGGCATTATATAGGCCAACTTGCTTCTGTTCTCTCACCTATAAAAAATGGAAAAATAGGACCTACCTTATGGGGTTGAGGTGAGGTTTGGATTCAGGTAAAAAGATTTAGCATTTTGCCTGGAGCACAATTAAGTTCTTAGTTGAGAGCAGTTGATATATTGTACCCATTGTCCTGATGTGGAAACTGAGGCATAGAAAGCGTTCATCATTTCACAGCTGATGGGTGGTAAAAGCAGAAATCAAACACACAGCAAAATAAAAATTCAAACACACACAACTGGAATGTAAGCATCTGGGCTGTTCACCACTGTATTCCCAGCATCTGGAACAATGCCCACACACAGTAAATGCTTAATAAATATTTTTAATGAAAGAATGATTGAATGGGCCAACAAGCACATGAAAAGATGCTCAACATCACTAATCAGTAGGAAAATGTAACTGAAACCACAATGAGATACCGTCTTATACTCATTAGCATGACTACTATAAAAAATGAAAAATAAAAAAAAAATAAGTGTTGGCAAGGAGGTGCAGAAATTGAAACCCTTGTGCACTGTTAGTAGAAATATAAAATGGTGCAGTGGCTATGGAAAGAAGTATGGAGTTTTCTTAAAAATTAAAAATAGAGGGCATGAAAATCAAGTACGATATATTTTGAGAAGTAAGATAAAATTAAATTAAAAAAATCAAAAATAGAATTATCATATGATCTAGCAATTTCATTTCTGGGTATATACAACAAAATTGAAAGCAGGAACTCGAATGATATTTGTACACTCATGTTCATAGTAACATTATTCACAATAGCCAAAAGGTTGAAACAACCCAAACGCCCATCAAACGATGAATGGGTAAACAAAATGTGACATATACATACAATGGAATATTACTCAGCTTCAAAAAGAAAGAGGATTATGACACATGCTATAATATAGATGAACCTCGAGGACATTATACTAAATGAAATAAGCCAGTAAAAAGGACAAATATGGTATGATTCCACTTATATCAGGTACCTGAAGTAGTCAAATTCATAAAGCAAGAAAGGAAAATGGTGGTTGCCGGCAACTGGAGGAAGGGGGAATGCAGAATTGTTTAATAGGTACAGAGTTTTGGCTTTGCAAGATGAGAAGAATTCTGGAGATTGGCTGCACAACAATGTAAAAGTACTTAATATTACTCAATACTTTAAAAATGATTAAGATGGTAAATTCATGTTATATATATTTTACCGTAATTTTAAAAAATGAATGAATGAATGAATATATGACTCCCAAGTGCAAACTCTTAGCCATCAGCACATCCATCATGATGTGGTATAGGTCAGATTGTGGGTTCAAGTTGAGCATGTAAAGGACATGGCACACAGAATATCTCAACAGATTAGTGTTGACAGTAGTAATGATAACCAGCACTTACTGAGAACTAACCATGCACCAGACCATGCTCCAAGTATTTGACAGGCGGTTAATTAAATCACTCAATAGTTAGGACAAACCCTAGGAGGTAGGCAGTGACAGTATTCCTGCTTTACAAATGAGGAAACTGAGGCATAGAAAGTTGAAGTAGTTGCCCGGTCCCATGTGGATGGAAAGTCATGGGGAGAAGATTCAAGCACAGCTTGGTTTAGGAGGTCGGTAGGGTGGCTCCAGTGGTTACAGAGTATGGGTTCTGGAATCAAACTCTCTGCACTCACATCCCTGTGCTGCCACTTCCCAACTGTGTGGATTTTGGAACCCAAAGGTTCCTGAGCCTCTACTTCCTCATTGGTAAAATGAAGATGATCATATGACATTATAGGGTTTTGGTGAGATTTCAATGAACGTTAAGCATGAATACGTGGTAGTTATGCCAAATGCCTCTTTCTATAATCTGACCTGATTGTACTAGGAGGTTTTTAGGTACAAGGATGGCAGTGACATGGCCCTGAGTCTCCCCCAGGTCCTTCCTAGTGCAGAACCAGGTAGGCGAGGGTTAAGGGGCAAGGTTGCTGTGGTAGGTCACATGGAGAAACCAGTTCTAACAGGCTCTGCCCCTCACATACTTGGGTGGCCCAGGCTGAGTCACCTCCCCTTTCTGGCCATGGGCTTTCTGCCTGACAATCTTGGGTGGCCCAGGCTGAGTCACCTCCCCTTTCTGGCCATGGGCTTTCTGCCTGACAATCTTGGGTGGCCCAGGCTGAGTCACCTCCCCTTTCTGGCCATGGGCTTTCTGCCTGACAATCTAGAGAGATAATAATACCTTCCCCCTTGGTGCAATTGTGAGGATTCAATGGGATAATAAGGCAGGCAAACAGCTTAGCACAAGGGCTTTATGTAGTTGACACTAATAAATGGGGCTGTGGGTCCAAATCTTGAGTCCTGAGAGGACCTGGGAGTGTATCTGAGATTCCTAAAGAGGGAGCTTGAGCTGCGCTGTCTAGTGCAGACGTCACCAGCCCACCAATGGCTCCTGAGCTCTTAAAAAATGGCAATTGTGATGTGGTGTAAGGGTAAAATATGCACTGGATTTCAGACTCAATGTAAAAAAAAAAAGAGAGAGAACATATATTTTGTTGATAATTTTTTATAGATTACTTGTTTAAGTGAAAATATTTGGGCTATGCTGGGTTAAATAAAATATACTATTAACATTAAGTTCACCTGTTTCTTTTTATTTGCTATAATGTAGCTACTAGAAAAATTTTAATTATATATGCAGCCCCTGTTACATTTCTATTGGACAGTGCTGGGATGAAGGCTGGGACATCTGGGTTATGGAAAAGGAACTTAGGGCTTGGTCACCTGAATTCCTAATAATAACATTAAAAAGAACAAGAACAATAGTAATAGCAACAAAAACAAAATATAAACTATATAACCTAACCCTTATTTTGTGCCTCCTAGCCTTTTAATTGCTTTATGCATATTAACTCATCAAATCCTTCCCTGACCCTGTGAGTTGTGGGGTATTATGATCCTCATTTCCCTGATGATGGAAATGAGGCACAGAAAAATTAAATATGTGGCCGAGGTCATCCTGCTGTAGGTGGCGAACAGAAGGTAAACCAAATCGGTCTTGTTCTCAGAGTTTGTCTCAATTATTACATTCTACTGCATCTCTCAGAGAGACACTCCAAAAACATGGGAATTGAGCCCAAGAATTCCCAGGGACACAGTGACTTCTGGAGGCAATGGCTCAGAGGGTCCCATTTCTACACTCCTGGATCCCCGATGGGCTGGAAGCTGGTAGATTTGTTGCTTTGTTCTCCTAGGAAACAAAACAGACCTGGATTCAAGTGCAGACCCCACTACATATTAGCTGTGGGACCTTGGGCAAGTCACTTCACTTCTCTGAGACTTCACTTCCTCTTCTAGAAGATAGGAGTAATAATTGTATCTATTTTGCAGGGCCATTGTTAGCATTCAGTGACAAATGAATGACAATTATAGCAACAATAAAGTCAGCCCTCATTTACCCCCTCTTTGAAACACTAACTTCCTTTGGCTTCTGGGATAGCCACTTACCTGGTTTTCCCCAAATCTCTGTGGCCACTCCTTTCTCAACTCCCTTTGCTGGCTTCTTGTCATCTCCCCTACATTTTAACAATGTAGCTTCAGCCATTCAACTACTTTGTTTCTGTCTTTTCTCATTCTCTAAGCCACCTCATCCATCCATGTGCTGATGATCCTCAAATTTGTATCTCCAGCCTGGACTCTTCCCTGAACTCTAGCCTCATATATCATATCTCTAACAGCCTAGATCAGGGGTCAGCAAACTATAGCTCACAGGCCAAATTCAGCAAAGAATGGGTTTTACATTTATTTTTCTTTCTTTCTTCTTCTTCTTCTTCTTCTTCTTCTTTTTTTTTGCAGCTGACCTGTATGGGGATCCAAACTCTCGACCTTGGTGTTACAACATCACACTGTAACCAAGGGAGCTAACCAGCCAGCCCATTTTACATATTTTACATTTTTTTTAAATAAAAAAATGACTGGTAAGGGGATCTTAACCTTTGACTTGTTGTTTACAGCACCACGCTCTCCCAAGTGAGCTAACTGGCCATCCCTATATAGGAATCCGAACCCGTGGCCTTGGTGTTATCAGCACCGCACTCTCCCAAGTGAGCCATGGGCTGGCCTGACATATTTTACATTTTTTTTAAATAAAAAAATGACTGGTAAGGGGATCTTAACCTTTGACTTGTTGTTTACAGCACCACGCTCTCCCAAGTGAGCTAACTGGCCATCCCTATATAGGAATCCGAACCCGTGGCCTTGGTGTTATCAGCACCGCACTCTCCCAAGTGAGCCATGGGCTGGCCTGACATATTTTACATTTTTTAAATGATCCAGAAAATATCAAAAAGGAAGATTTCACAGCATGTGAAACTCAAATTTCAGTGTCCTTAAATGAAGATTAATCGGAACACAGCCACACGCACTCACTTACATATTGTCTCTGATTATTTCCAGGAATAATTGTGACAGAGACCATATGCTCCACAAAGCCTAAAATATTTCCTGTATGGTACTTTATAGACCCTTCACTATGTTGACCCCATCCTAGATGTTATCTCTTAATAGGCATCTTAAGTTTAACATGTCCAAAACTGAGCTGTGATATCTGTCCTTAAAATTAAATTAGAGGACTGGCTGGGTAAGCCAGTTGGTTAGAGTGAGATGTTGTACCACAAAGGTAGAGGGTTTGGATCCTTGTACCGGCCAGCCACCAATCAATCAATCAATCAATCAATAAGACAGAAGAAAATAAAAGAAATAAATAAAATACCTGCTGTTCCACTTTATGAATGGATCTCCCATTCTCAGGTGCTCAGGTCAAAACCTTAGAGTGGTGATTCTCAGCTAGGGGTAATTTTATCACCCATGGGACAGTTGACAATGTCTAGAGACAATTTACAATTTTGGTTATCAAAACGGGATAGTGCTGCTGGCATCTAGTGGGTAGAGTCCAAGAACGCTGTTGAACATACCACAACGCACAGGACAGCTTCCCCCTGACCATCCCACATGGAATTATCTGTCCTAAAATGTCAACAGTGCTGAAATTGAGAAATCCTGCTTTAGAGACACCCCTGACTCCTCTCTCTCATATCCCACAACTGCTCCATCAGCAATTCCTGCCTGTGGTAGCTTTAGAATATACTTCGAATTCAAACCACTTCCCAAACTCTACCGCTGCCAGCCTAGACAAGCTGCCTCCTGTTTTCCCTTTTGCCTTCCTTTTAGTTATTTCTCAACACAGCAGCAAGAGCCATCCTGTTAAAATTTGTCAGCTCATGTGACTCCTCTGCTCAAGAACCTCCAATGGCTCCCATCTCAGAGTAAAAAGTGAAGTCTTTTCTGGGACTGGGACCCTGTTACCTCTTTGACTGCACCTCCTACTACATTCTCCCCTTGTCACTCTGCCCCGGCCACACTGGCCTCCCCCTGGTGATCAAGCACACAGGCACACTTCCACCTCGAGGCCTTTGCATGTGCCGTTTCCACAGCCTGAAGTACTTTCCTCCAGATGTCCACATGCCTCCATTTCTCCCTTCCTTCAGACCTTCACTCACATGTCACCTGCTCAGTGAAGCTTTTCCTAACCTCCTTATCTGCACACACGTACCCCCAACATGTCCATCCCTTCCCTGCTCCTTTTCCTTCTTAGCACTCAGTTCCATCTAACACCCTAAATGTCTTATTTATTTATCTCTATTATTATCTCTCTCTCCCACTAGAATATAATATATATAAATGACAGAAATTTTCATCTTTTTGTTGTTGTTGTTGTTGTTGTTTTCCACTTCTGTAGCCCCAGAATCAAGAACAGTGCCTGGCACATAGTATAAACGCAGTAAGAACTGGTTGTTCAATGAATGAATAAATGAACGAATGGTAAACTTAATACATGCCACACACTGTCCTAGGGGTTTCATGATGCAAGCCCCACACTTGGCTTTGGACCTGGTGCTTGGTCAGACCAGTGAATGGACATGAACTCAGACATCCAAAGGAGAAAGGAAGTAACGTAACCAGAGAAGTGGGTGGAATGTGAGGCGATAGGGAATGGAGATGACAGTGGGGAAATGGAGACCCCCACTTGATCTGAAAAAGCAACTGCTACTCAGATTCAGCCAGTTGTGGTTAGTGCAGACGCAAGCCTGTTTTGTTGGAGCTTCTGATAGCTCAAAAGATGCCAGAAATCAGATCTTCAATGTGAAGTCTCCCCCTTTTTAAATGCTGGCAACTGATTCAGATTTTGGTTTCAGTTTTAAACACTTCACCAGCCAGACCGAATGGATCTGCAAACCCCATCCATCGGACCTGAGTTCTTCTCTTGGCTCTGCCCCTCTCACAGCTGGGTGACTGGGGGTGAACGCTTAACCTCTCTGAGTCTCAGTTTCCTCATCCCTGATGGGAAGGTGGCACCCACATCATAGGATTTAAATGAGACAATTAGCATTATTCCTGGCTTGTTATGAGTGCTCAGCAAGACAGAGGAGGAAGGGACAGAAGAAAAGAGGGAAAGGACTGGCCGTTTGTTTAGTTGGTTAGAACACAGTCTTGTAGGGCCGGCCCGTGGCTCACTCGGGAGAGTGCGGTGTTGATAACACCAAGGCTATGGGTTCGGATCCCATATAGGGATGGCCGGTTGGCTCACTGGCTGAGCGTGGTGCTGACAACACCAAGCCAAGGGTTGAGATCCCCTTACCGGTCATCTTAAAAAAAAAAAAAAAAAAGAACACAGCCTTGTAACACCAAGGTCAAGAGTTCGGATCCCCATACTGGCCACCAAAAAGAAAAAGAAAAAAGGAGAGGAACAAAAAAGAGAAGCAAAGGTATTTCAATCTTTTAGTGCCAAAGGAGCAACTTTGGGATTGCTAGTCCCGTTCCTTCGTGTTGTAGAGGATGGCTGTGAGGCTTAGGGAGGTGGAAACATGGCTGTCATGGCTGGGGGGAGGGATGGACAGATGAGCAGTGGGATTGGCACCCAGGACTCTTGTTTCTGAGCTCAGCACCTCCATGACGTGCACGAAACAAATATGGAGGCTAAGAGTGGGAAAGAGAAGGTGCCGGGGGTAGGGGTGGGGTGGGGGCAGAAGTCTTGGAAAAGTAGGGGAGACCGGAAGCAGAGGGATCTAGGTAGGAAAGGGACTGTGAGCGGGGCCATGAGAGTGAAGACTTAGAGTCAAAAAATGAGGCATCGAAGGAGAAAGAAGTAGAAGAAGACGTGCGTAGAGGGCAGCTGAAGTACATTCGTCTAAAAGAAAAAGGAGGGAAAGGACCTGGACGGGAGGTTGGGAGAAATCCTGATGGGAGATGAGACGGGGGGTGGTCACTGATGGGAAGAGACAAAGATCTGTAGGAGGAAAAGTGACAACAGAGAAAAGAGCACAGGTTCATGACTTATGTTGAGATAAGGCAGAAAGTTTGGGGGGAGCCACAGAGCCAAAGAGAAGAGGAAAGAGATGGAGAAGATGAGGAAGGGGCCATGACGGGGGACAAGAGAAGCCGGGGAATTCAGTGCCGGGGGAGAGCGTCGGGAGAGAGGATGCACCGGGGCATGAAGGAGATGCGACGGGCCGGCAGCTTTACAGGAGGAGCAGCAGCAAGATGAACGACGAGAGAGAGAAAGAGAAAGGACAGAGGGAGCCCTGAGTGCAGCAAGGCCAGGCCTGGGGAGAGGGACCGGGGAGAAATGCAACAGGGGCCGGAGGGGGAGGACGTGAGAGGAGGAGAGATAAGAGAAGGGGGTTCAGAGGGATGAGCTGGGGGCCCGGATGGGGTGCACCGCGCAGGGGAGCTCTGCATGTAGAGCGGAGTCGAAAGGAAGGGGGAGAAGTTCAGGGGCGGCGGGACTGAGGGATGAGACGCAGCAGGAGCACCTCGGGCAGAGACGGGGCACCAACGACGGCCGCGGGAGACAGGGGGACTGGGGACAGGGGAGCTCCGAGCCTGCAGGGGCTCGCGGGGGGACGCGAGGCCGGGCTCCGCGCGTCCTACCTTCCAGGCAGCAGATCCTCCAGAGGCCCGAGTGCGTGAGGCCGCCGGGGTCCTTCTTCTCGGAGGAGCCCGCGGCGCCGCGGTGGGCGGGCGCGTCGTCGCCGGCGGTGAGGTTGGTGGTGTTGCAGATGAAGGCGCGCGTGTACAGCCAGTAGTCGGTGCTGATGGCGATGGTCATGAGGCCGAAGGCGGCGAAGGCGCCCACCGTGGTCAGCAGCACCTGCACCCCCTTCTCGCACCAGAGACCCCGCTCTTCGTTCCAGCGCTTCAGCGACTCCAGTTTGACCACGGGCAGCCGGGGGGCCGTGGGCCACCACCGGGGCAGCGGGGGCGGGGCCGTGCCGGCGGCTGGGGGGGTCACAG